CCGGACCCACGACCAATCTCTGATAAAGTCACGAGAACAGAAATTTTCCATGGAGCATTTCTCCGACGGTCGCAGGCGCTGCTACTCTAGTTAATACGGCAATAGCGTCACTCAGTTGGGCCAATCAAAGCTTTTGTCTACCCTGCACAGCCAGCGCACCAGAGCAGAGAGGAACAGAGAGTGCTAAGAGAGCATGGCTTCATCAAAATTGAGAAAAGTTGATGAGGAAAACCATTGTTTTAAAGATGAATGGATGGAGAAATTTATGTTCATTCTTCTTCTTCTCACAGCTCTTTGGAGCTAAGTTATCCCCCGAGGTCAGAGCTGAGAGCACGCAAAATAACCGAGCTCCGTGCCCAATGTGAAAGGCCTACTTATTATGTCACTTTCTTCACTGGCAGGGCAGTCACATGCTCATTTTTGTTATTAAGAGAAATAAAAAAAATAATAATAATAATCAAAAATGAAAGATGGTGTCCCAACTTGTCCCAACTTATTTTAAGTTTATTTTAAGCCTTCAGTTCTTTAGGGTGGGACCTCTTCAGTTTAAAAGAAAATTGGGTTTTAGGCTCTGTTTGCACTTAATATCATTCTGATGTTTTTGTTTTCTTTAATCTGAAATAAAGGCCTTAAATTTATTTGACTGTGAATTTTTTTAATGGTGAAACTGTTGTCTGTTTACTACATAGTTGCACTCTGTTAAAAGTGAAAAATCGAAACTATATGAAAATGTGAACATAAGGTAGAACAATCATAACAAACCAGCTGGACTTCAGTTCAGACCTTTTATTTGAAGGAAATTTCAGTAGTGGACCTCAGTGACTTTTAATCGAATAACCCTGATATAGACCATAAGTCCTCCACCCTTGCACTTGCCTTTGTGTCTCTGTCCACTCTGACCGTTTTAAAGCCGGGTAGGTCCACGTTGGCATCTGGGGTGCTCACGGTTAGCCACGTCTCGGTGAGACAGAGCAAGCTGCACTCCCTGTAGGTCCTAACGTTTCTACACCAGTGCTGCCAGCTCTTCAGTCTTGTTCATCAGGGAGTTCATGTTCCCCATGAAAACAGAAGGGACAGATGGCTTTTAACACCTGTAGTTCCCTAGCTTTTTAGCCTTTAGCTTAGCTCCAGCTCTGCAGCCCCGGTAGGGTCGCCTTAACTCCGCAGGTAGATGGGGAACAGATCCAAAGCTGGACTTATTTCTGAGGGAAAGCAGCTTATTTTCATCCCTGTCCAATGTAGATGGACGGTAGTACAAAAGTCAAACAAAATACAACAAAAATACCACAAACAAGAGCAAAAAGACGGAGCTGCTGCTGGGTGTTGCTGCTGGGTGTTGCCACTCGTGACGGCGCATGCACAAGATGATAGGGCATGCGCAACGGTAAGATGTGGCAATCTACTTTACTTTTATATTTGTCCTATAATACAGATTATGAATAGAGATTTTTTGTGTAATGTCAAGGAATTTGACTGTACTACCCCTTTTATTATTTGGATTTATACAAATATTGTGTACTTGCAGTTTCTTTGTTTGTTTCCAATCGTACTATAAATTCAACCAATCAATCAATCAATCAATCAATCAATCAATCAATCAATCAGTATTTATTTTTATCGCACTTTTCATACAGGGCAGTGTAGCACAAAGTGCTTTACACAGAAGAAGAAAAAAAAATTGATGCTTTTCAGAGATTTCAGACTACATACTAAATATTTTCTACTGTGCCAATACTTTTGTAAACTATTTGAAATGAAAAATTAAAAAAATGCTTACAGAAAAATCAAGAACTGTAAATAAATACCACTTAGGTTTTCAACTTGTATTTAGTGTCTTAATGTTGAAGCAGATACCTCTCTCCATGTTCAAAAGTTGACTGATTACCTGCAAATTTGGCTCAAGGAAAATATTGATCTTGCAGTCTAGTGCTTATATGTAGTGTTGATGTACGAGTTGACCAGAAAAATAAATATTGTGACAGTTGACTTGCTAATTATTAATGAAGCCATTGAACGGGTCACTTAGGGCCTGAGCTACTAAGATCCAAAATACCAAACGCTAAATTGCGTGCACAAACTAAAAAATTGCACGTGCTATTAAGTGGGCATGTTGCAGGTGTTCTACTATCATTGCATGGGCAATTGATAGCGGGTGAAAAAGTGGTGCTGACCGTCCTCTTTAAACAAGGACTTTGCGTGCGCTATCGGCTGTCACCATGAAGAGTTTGTGAGAGCAGAGTGGTCATAGATGAAGAATGAAGTTTGAAGCCCTGGAGTTGCACATATAATTTTGGGGAACTGCATAAAAGGCAAGGGAAGTTTATTTGTGTAGCACAATTCATACACAAGGCAACACAAAGTGCTTTTCAGATGCAAGAAGATATACTTGAAATCAAAAAAGGGTATAAAACAATTTAAAATCAGTAAGACAAACAGATATTTTTTCATCTGTTCTGTGTTTGAGCTTATTTTTTTATGAAAATCATCATTTACCAGAAAAACTAAATAATTCACAAACTTTTGGACAAGGATCATAGCGTCTATCATGGCAGTGGTAAATGATTCCATTTGCATCTGCTCTTCCCAGAATTTTGTGCGTTTTAAAGATCTGCATACATTCTGCATATTTATGAAGGCAAACACGCTAAATCGATTGCGTGCACTGTTTTGCTCATTTGACAGACGCAATCCTCGGTGCTCCCGGTTAGTAGATAAGGTTTGTGTGTGCTATCAAGTTTGCACGTGTTACCAGGGAAATTTTGAGACAAATTAAGTCAAATACATCAGACTAAAGGGCAGCGAGATTCCACACAAAGTTCCTGTATCTAAACTGCCGTTTCACCATCATCTCCTGATAGTTTGAAATTATTTCACTGTCATGTTCACAGGGTGGTGGGTGAGTTTTCAGGTGTGTGTTTGGTGACAGAAATCAAAGAAGTGAGTTCTTTTCCTAAATAGATGAGCTCTGGCTAAAGGCAGATTGAGATCAGATAAAGGCACCTGTGTCTGGTTTATTTCAGGTGTCTTTGGTGTGTTTGTTTCTCCTACTGAGCTTAGTGGGGTGATGACAAATGTCAAAAATACACAACCAGAGGAACACTAAAAACCTGACTACATCATATAAGCTCAGAGATGAGCATGAAAAAGTCCCAGCAGGCCACTAAGTAGCACAGTGAAATAATCATTTAGATAAACTGTATGCTTCATTGGTAATATTATGAACTTTTATCTCAACATTGTTGTTGTCTCAATAATGTTAATTCCTTTAATGAAGAAACATCATCCTAACATGGTCGTCACGACACAGATACTTGGATTTGCAGGGATGATTTATTAGAAAAAGAACATTACACTTCAAAGAACAGAGAGAAAACCAGTAGAACCTGTCCTGTTCTGAATCCAAAGAACCGTTTAGTTATTTATCACAGCAGAAAGGTGTTAGCACCACGGAAGACATGGGACTAGAAGAAACTTTGGATTCAGGCATTACCAGTTTTTTGGTGAAGATCAATTTTCACAATCCAATCTGGCCTCTTTCATTCCATCTTTTGGCCCTCGGGCAGCACTGCATTAAAAATGGACATAAAGAAGAAGAACTTTAGTCATCCCCCAGGGATGAAATTGCTGCATTAAAACAGATAGGACTCTGGACTAGAAATCACCATCAGGCATGACTGAATGTTGACAACCAAAATTGTTCTTTATCGTTATAACGGTATAACATGGCACCAAAGTCAATAAATTCAAACTTCAGTAGTTTTTGACTTACTGTACTCAGTATAAAAACACTGTACACATTTGCTGCTCACCAAAGGAGAGCTCAGTATGTCAGCAAATCTTATTCTTCTGTGGTGATCAACATGACACATGTTATCACCACCTACTGGTTAGGCACACTTAAATGAGCATCCGACAGCATTCTGTTTTTGTGTTGTTGTGACCAGAATATAAAAAAAACCTTAGAAATGATCTAAAGAAACTTTAACCTGTAGCATTATTTTGATAAAGTCTCAGAATAAGATTAATAGCAGGATTAATCAGGTTAACGTGGCTTTAATTCAGCAGATTTTTCATCAGAAACACTGTAGACATGACTTTTCTAATGGCATCTGCAGTTTTTGAATACTGTGTATGTTTTGGGAGACATGAGGGTCCAGGTTTGAGAAATTCTGGGGACTGATCTACATCCATCCCAATGTGGACCACAAAATAGGTCTGATGCTGAATCGTGGATATCCTCCACAAAGCAGATGGACCATCACCCAGAGTTTCATCATGCAGTTGTGAATTAACTCAAACTCAGCGGGATGTTTGGTGGTTCAAATGTCAGAACCTATACAGATAGACCTGATGGTGCTGTGACAGAGTTCTGCCAAAGTTGTGATAGTTCTGACAGGGTTCTGACAGAGTTAAATAGAGTTTAGACAGAGTTCTGATAGAGTTCTGATGGAGTTCTGACAGCTTTGATACCCTGCAGAGCTCTTACTTGCAGCATCGTGACTCTACATTTGTATATTGGGAGGTTTCTAAGTGTGTCATGGTGTCTGTCTGAGTTCTGCAGAACATTTCAGACCCAAGTGTTTTCTATTAAAGTGTTTGTTCTGACTAACTGTTGAGGGGGCGGCTCTCTGCTGCGGCTGCCTCTTTGTTTAATGGAGATATCAGCAAGTTCTAATGAAGTCTGTTAATCCTCTGAACGCTTCGTTAATTCCTTTCCTCTTCAGCTGGACATTCTGCTGTTGTATTTGCTGAAGATGAGTGCCAGCGGCTGAACGCCGCTGCTGCAGCATGCCGCTGCCGCCACCGTTGCTGATAGTTTGATTGTTTTATTGTTCAGACTCATTTAAAGTCAATAAGGACTAATGGACATTTGTTTAACTCCAGGCTGTGCGTTCCTTTATCACCTCGCAGCTTGCCACATGCCAATCAAACATGCAGCATCATGTGACCTGCAAGAGGCGGAGCACAAGGCTTTAAAATGAGCAGCACTCAGAGAACCAGGACCAGAGACAAGACCAAAACCAGAACCAGGAGAAGTAGACGATACCAGACCAGCAGACAGTAGGAACTTTCTTCTTCACTTGTTTTTCTTCTTCTACTTTTTTTCCTCCTCTTTTAACATTCTTCTTCTACTCCTGAAATCTCGGCAGGTATGCAGTGTGTTCGTTGTCCCACCATCTTGGTTCTCGTGGCATTGGTTCTGTGCAGTCCCAGTGTGTCATCCCAGCTTGACGGGGACCAGGACCAGTACCAGGATCAGAATCAGGATCTAGAGCTGGAGCTGCGTCACCACCGGCTGCTTCAAAGAGCTCGCAGTGCTGGACTCCTGTCTCAGGTAAAAGACAACAATGTCGACCAATCAGAAGGCCCCATCTTTTAGGGGAACATCATGGCTTCCTGTTTGGACTGAGACTCTTAGAGCAAGAAGTTTGATTTCTTTAAAGGTCTCTGACTTTATCATGACACAATGAAACCTCAAAACCTTAAGGTGATAGCAGACATTTAGTAACTTCTCTATATCGAGGCATATTTCTTAAACTTTAACTGTTTACAGTTATTCAGGGTCTCTCGAAATGGCTCAGAGTTAGAAAACTGACTTGATAAGAAAACCTAAACATCTGTCAAAATCAAAGTCAAAATTGGCTGGTGTTAGCCAATAAAGCAGAGGTCCTTAAATCTGGTTACCACACATCATCAAAACAGAAGAAGTAGCAGCTGCTAGTGAGCTAGCTTTAGCATCCCTCTGAGAGATAATTACATATTTTTAAAAACTATCCGGTTCTTTGTTGAAAGGGCAACTAAACTTCTTTGAGGTTCTTTGAGAGGCGGTAGTCTTCAAGAACCTCTGACAAATCCAGTTGCCCTTTCAATGTAGAATTGGATAACCATAACCTGGATGAATGAGAACCTACACATTCAGTTACCATCTACCAGTGGTCTTTGTGATTTAGGAGTTTGAGATTATGGTTGAAATTTGACACTGAGTTCTCAGAGTCCTCGTAGCTGAAGTCCACAGAGCATCAAGGGGGTTCAAATCTGAACCATGAACAGAAACAGAGACTCAAAGGCTTTCATAGATCCTCCTCAGAGTTTAAACTATAGATTAGAGATCAGGGGTGCGGTAATGAATCCGAACCCTGAGTCAGGGTCTCGCTCACTTCAAGTATATGTTCACTATTCATCATCCTGCCAACTAAAGACAGGAAATGTTGATGTGATGATTTATTAACAGCAATAAAAACAGTCTCTCTGATTCTGCAGTCGGTTCCCATCAGCCTCCCTGGGAGAGAAATTAACATCAAATTGAACGTATAAAGTCAGAATCATGGTCAAACATCGGGTTGCTTATTTGTTCCAACACACATTACAGTGAACATTTCCACTGACGGTAATGTTAGACTGAGGAAATTAAGCTAGTGTCTGGACTTTGAAAACGTTGCTGATAGCACTGCTGTCTGTGGTTGAGGTTACTTTATAGAGATCAACAGGTAGAGGGGAAATGTGCTGGACAGTTCTGTTTGGAGCTTTGAGTGTGTCATTTCAGCAAATCATTATTTAGTAATTATAGAGCAGTTAGTGACTTTGTTCACACGAGAGGTTGTAGCTAAAGACAAGCAAAGAGTCATCTGAAGGGTCAGCCTGAACTGTCAAAAGAAAACAGAGGTCAGGTGTTGGACATTTGTCCTTCAGAGCCTGATCCCCCTCCCGCTCTCTGGTCCTGTTAAAAGCTGTCCAGTTCTTTGTTGAAAGGGCAACAGGAAATGTTGCTGATGGTCCTGTTAGCTTTTGTTTGTCATAAAGATGCGTCAATATGAATCTTATTCTATTTCATCTGTGTCAAAAACATCTCTGGTTGAAACTCATGTTTCATTTTTGGCCCCTCATGCTTATGTTCTAATTATTCTGTTGCATGTCAGTTCTAGCAATAATTAAGTCAGTTAAAAGGGGGTTGAGAATTGAGCCCTGAGGCACTCCAGTAACATGATGTTATTAAACTTCCTGCCAAACCTCTTTTGCAGCTGCTAAGTCTGACAAACATAGCCAACTGGTAAAAGTTTGGGTCCCTGAGAGGAGTTTTCATGTGGTTTTGATTCTGTTCATTCCATTCAAAGATGCATTTCTTTTTTTTTTTCTTTTTTTTTGGGGGGAGCTCCTTTTCATTGTTTGAAAAAACTATAATCTCCCTACAGTGGCTTTAAATTTGTACTTCTTTAGATGGACAGAGGTCTCTGTAGGTTTTTATCTCTCATTTAGATTCTCTAAAGACTCATATATTGGGATCTGAACTGTAGGCTATTTTAACAGAGCCCATTTTGTGTTTGTGGCTTAAGCTAATGATGGACCCAGAGCTAACGACAGAGCTGCTGATCCACATATTAGAAACATTTGAAATTCATGAGCAGCAGTGTGATGGCACAGGAGGAGGTGGTGGAGGTAGGGACAGCAGATTAGCAGTCAGGATGCAGAGCTCACATCATTGTTTCAGCCCGAATGAACACTAAATGTTTGTATGGACAACCTGCTGTGAGAGACAGTGACGTTAAATTGAAGCCCTGCAGTAGTAACACTACTGCTGTGTGACGCTCCTACAGCTGGTCTGGTACAAGTCGTCAAACTGAGCTTCATTTGACATGCACATCCCCTTCAATACATTAGAATCATAATGAGATTAAATCAAATCTCGAATCCTAGCTGCATCTTATTGTTGGAGATTTCTGAAGTGTAGTTGCTTAGTGTTTATGAGCAGATGCTCCTTTTGCATGATAACTGAGGAGTTTCTGGGACCTTTGTGGATTCCTAGTTCATTATCCAGAAAAAAAAAACACCCAACAGTCTCTAAATCAACATTATTAATGCTTCCATGCAGGCCTGAGCTCATATCAACAAGTGTCTGCTCATGTTTCCTGTTAGCAAACAGCCCTACTGAAACTTCGGAGAACTATCAAGTCTGAACCCTCTCTCGGCTGGGTCAATCCAAAATAAAGTAGGTCTGGGTGAACTTGACTGCTGCGACCAGCTGCTTCAGACTGACAAAGTCCCAATTTGATGAGATGAGCTATTAATTGGGACAAGTCTGATAGAAACCAAATTCCAACGCTCAGTTTGAGTTTGGGAGCATCAGTCAGTCCACCCAGATATCAATCAGTATCTGACTCCACAAAGTCTCAGTTTTACTTTATCTGTCTTTAATGGGATTCAGTTTCTATGTGCCTGTCTCCTTTTGGCCGTAGTTTCACTGTTTCTGTTACACTGTGTCTCAGTTTTATATTCTCTGTCACCAGTTTCTCTGTATTTAACAGGTCACCTCTCAGCCTGCTGATATCTGTAATTATGTAGTTCTATGAAACCAGAACAAAAAGATTCAGCAGTGAATTTCTGACATCACACAGAATGAAAGGGTGCTAAGATAACTCAGGAGTGTCTGTGAGATATGAAGCAAACATTTTTAAATCATCTGAATTTTACATGAAGTTTGGATCAAAATCTCATGTGAACTGAACCATCACGCCACATAAAAAACCTCTTGCACTCGAAGTGTGTGTCGACCTATCTGCTGCTCTGAGCCATCTGATCTAACTCACTCTAAAACCTCTTCCTCTTTCTCAGGAGTGGAGTAAACGGGCAGTTGAGGACCTGCTGGCTCAGATGTCTCTTCCAGAGGCTGAGGCCGAGCGGGAGGCGGAAGTTGTTTCTACAGCAGGAGGAAAGATAAACCTAGAGCGGTCCGTTGACCCTCCCAACAATATGCCTCCCCGTGAACGCAAAGCTGGCTGCAAGAACTTTTACTGGAAGGGCTTCACTTCCTGCTAAAGCCCCACCCAGGTACCTGATTTCCTGTTGTAGCCCGGCCTGTTAATATTCCTGTTTGACTCAGTAAGGTGGACTGATTTCAAGAAAAGATCTAACTGTGATTTTTCTGGCAGATATTGCAATTTCCATTTGATTAACGATTTTCTTCAAATCAAGCTGCAGTGCAACATTCATTAACGACAGTTATCAGAACTGAAGAACTAAAAGAGCCATCTTTGAATGTCTTATAAAATGTTGTGCAAAAAATCCTTAATTGTGTTAAGAAAGTTAAATAAAATATAAAACAATAAATAAAAAAAAACAATGTTAAGTTAGTTACAATTAGAAAAACAGAATCCAACAATTCTAATAAAGGAAAAAGGGATCTTGACCAACAGTCTTACAAGGACAAGGACAAGGTTAGTCTTTTATGGCTCAAGTAAGCTAGCTTATCAACATCTGTAGCAGTTAAAGTACTCTATTTGACCCTTAGCCTCGGCCATCATTTCAAGTGAAACTGAACATAATTGGTAATAAATTAAAACTCTAAAATAAAATGACTCTACATCTGCCCTTCTGAAATATATGCCAGACATTAAAATAGGTGTGTCATTCATTTATGGCCCAGCAGCACCAAAATATTGCACATGTTCTGTAAACGATAGAGGTTTTTCCCCGTGAAAATATCAAGTATCTTTTTTGAACAAATCAATCAACCAATCCATCAATCAGTATTTATTAATATAGCGCCAAATCACAACAGTTGTTATCCCAAGACACTTTCCAAAAGAGCAGGTTAGACCTAACTCATTGTTTGACGTATTACAAAGACCCAACCTTAAGATGAGACAGATTTGACCTACTTCATCCAACATGAGTGACAGTAGCAAGGAAAAACAGCTGACACTACAAATCAGGGTGAAGTGCAGAACATATTAAATCTTAAAAGCACTTCAACAACAATAGTACCTGTTACCCTGACATCTATACATCACTCTTGGCAATTTTTTTTGTCAAGCAAATCAGCATGTCAACCTTTGATGGTTTTAGACATGAGCTCCGACATGTGATGTGTATTCTGAATCCCCAAAAAGAGGACACTACTATAAGTTGTGCGCGCACACATGCGCATGCATAATTTTAGGGTTATTTCTTGGGCAATCATATTCTGAATCCCCAAAAAGAGGACGTGTGTGCGCAAATTTTTTAGGGTTTTTCGGGTCAGGTGCAGTGTTTTTTTACGCGCTTCAAACTCAGTTAAACGCATATTCTGAGTTACCAAAAAGACACTTAACCAGGCCTCTTGGAGATACTGAAAAACACTCACACAAAGTTGCATTTATAAACAATATATTAATTTATGTAAATCATTTATTGTCAACAAAATCATCAGTCACATTCAAATATTTCTCCCTTTTCTTTCACTTAGAACTGAGCAGAGGAGCAGAGTAGCAGATGCGCTGCACTGTTTTATAATGAATGAAAACACATTTCGGGGTTTGGCATCTTAGAGTATGTTTCCAAATGAACCATTGAACGTGTATGGTAAATACAAGGGAAAAAACAGGCTTCCGTACAAAACCCCAGACATTCAAAGGATTTTATAAACTCCCTCTGGACAGGCCGGACAGCCCCCCAAAAAGAGAATAAAAGCCAATAGCACTTAACGATCTCTGTAAAGGCCAACTGGTGGCTGGTAGGTATGCACAGAAAATCACTTATAAAAAGCAAATAAACATAATATTTATTGTCTAATACTGAGGATAAATAATCTATTATTATTATTTCTTCAAACAAGGTATTTGTAAGGGCTTCAAAGAAAAACAACATTAAGAGAACAGTTACATACGTAATTTGTATAAATAAAAAAATAAACACACACACACACACACACTTTCCAAAACACCGAAGTCTGGTCCATTCATTAAACTCCATAGCTTTGATGACATTTGCTGCATTGTTGGTTGTGATGCACATCTGGTTCTCTTCTTTCAAACCCAGGGACTTTTCAATTTGCAGTTTTCATTTACGAAATGCACAGTCAAACTAAGATAGGGTTTGGTCCTTCTGCTTGACCACTTATCAGTAGTTGTTACGTAATACTCCACATTATTCAGCTCTGTTACCACTTTTTCTTCACACTGCACATACAGCTGTGAGATGGCAATGTGGTTGAAGTAGGTGCAAAAGGGAACCACATATCTTTCGTCCAGCATGCAGAGGAGGTTTTTAAATCTGTCTTTGGTGACTGTATAAACAGGCACCATGTCCTTAGCAATGTCTTGTGTTATGGCAGTCGTTATCTCTTGGTGTCTCCAGCTGCTCTTGTCATACAGACTTACACTGCTAAAAGATGCTGTCTGTCTGTTTGCAAAATGGGCCTAAGAATGATATTCAATAGACCTTTCTCCGTACTTCTTCGTCATGCACTCCTCATGCAAATGTCTGTTGCGATTTTCAAAGTGCTGGTAAAAGTTGGTTCTGTTTCTGCGCGATGTTGCAACTTCGGCGCTTCAGATTTTGCACAGTACCTGTTTCTGGAGCACAAAAGCAGCCTCAAACACCAAATTCTCCCAAATGCTTTTGGGACTACTTTTCTTGGGGATTAAATCCCCTAACTCCACTTCTGGTTGCACTGAAGCCATTTTAAAAACACATTTACATTTCAAAACATGGAGAGCAGGTTAATACTGATTGGTTTATGTGACCTGTCAATGAGTAGCGTATGTCACTTCCGATTGGTGAGTTAGGCAGGACGGTAAGGAGACGGAATGTATATGTAAAATAGTTGACACAACAGATCCTGGGTCAGTCAGGAGCGCAGCCAAAAAATGCAACTTTGGCAATCACATGATCGTGTTGTCAAAAATCTCAATTTCTATAAGAAAATGATAAATCGTTCAGCTCTACACCCCAGGTACCTTACTCCAAGGTAGGAGCTGATGACCTTGTAGTTAGGCCCCGCCCACTTACCTCTCTGTTTTTTTTTTTAACTCTGCCCAGTCACATAACAGTCCCTTAGAGCTACCCTTAGTTACTTCCTAGTCTGTTTAAGTCTCGCCCCCTTCTCAGGTAGCATATGTTTGGTGTCTCACCTGTTGTTGTGATTGTTTTCCCAGTTGAGGCCATTTCACCTCCTGATCAACCGACCAGTCCCAGATCACTTCTCCTTCACCTGAGCACCTGGACCGACCAATCAGCAGCTGTCTGTCTGCAATGTACCTGAATAATTAATGTAATTATCTATTAAAGAGAGAAATCATTCATGTTTGTGGCTCCTTCTACTGTGTGCTTAAATATGAAACATGCAGGTAAGATTAGATTGAAAAGAAATCTAAGATCATAAAGAGAGACTTTTTCTACAGTTTGAAAGATCCTTTCAAGTGAAAAACAGAATCAACACTAACAAACAAACCTGAGAGTGTATGAATCTGTTTTTTTTTTGTTGTTGTTTTTTTTTTTTTTTTCCAAACATGACCTGAATTAAAAGGATCAAAAGTTAAGGCTAGTTTTAGTTCAGGCAAGTCAAGCTCTGCCTACAGTACATCAGCTGATCTTAAGCCCTGCCCACACCCGCTGACAGTTCTGATGCTGCTCCCTGTCCTTTACCCTGGGGTTCTTTGCTGCTGTCCCTAAAAACTGCGGAGGTGTGCCCTCTCCGCCTCAGGCTTTGTCCCTCCACATATGCAGAGCAGAGATGTCGTAACAGTAGATGTTACTCTGTACGTGACAATGAAGTACTTCTTTTGGTCCTGACTGAACTTTAGTCTACATGTTGGATCATTCGAAACATTTGTCAGACAACAGTTTGATTTGAACCATAAATCAACAAGCGTATTACATTATTATGATTTTTTTTTTTTATTAAAAAACTTCATAGACTTGCTCCTGTGGGAAACACAAAATCTGCCCTTCCATCTGTTTTAGCTTTCTTTTTTCAAACATTGGCCGACCTTCACCCCTCATTTTACACTAGATGTCCTATTTCACACCGTCAGGAAGACTCTACTTTATAATAATGAACTGAACACAAACCCCAGTGAGCAGGAGTGGGAGTACTGGGAGGAATCAGTGTGAGTGGAAACAGCTGCAGCTTTTAGTGTTTAAACAGAGAGAAGGGTGAGTCTTAATAACCTTTAATGGAGACCAGAGAGAGAGCAAATATTGACCCCACATGTTAAGGCCAGCTGTGTGTGTGAGAGAGAGAGAGAGAGAGAGAGAGAGAGAGAGAGAGAGTTTTGAGGGGTTTTTTTTTTATTCATTTAATTAAATAAAATATAATTCACAATACAAAGAAAAAAGTGACCCAGGCTCACAGAATCACATATCATGGTACTTCACAAAAGTGAGAGAAAAAAAAATAGCATTACATTATCACTTCTGCAAAAGTAATTTCATCACCCTTAAAGAAAAAAAAAATACACTACCATTGTCCCAAATGTTGTTGAAACCTTTCAGAGCCTACATTCTTAAATAGTACCTGTACTCTAATTGTATTCATGCCCAAACAAGGTTCTTAAATACTAAAACGCAATCACATCTCTGTCCTTTTTGTACTGTTTCTCTTTTGCTTAGATAAACTGCCATCTTAGCTTGACCAAAAAGGAAATTAAACAGCCAACCTTGCTTCTTCTTTTTCTTTCTGTAGAAGAAACCAAAAATAAACATTTGGCCAGTAAAATGTTCTTCTAAAGATTCCAGTATGACCTTCAATAACCCAAATAACTGCCCCTGATAAAGCATCTTTCCTTACACACAGTCCAAAGGCATCCAAGCCCTACTGTCAACCTCCAGCAGAGGGCGCAGACCTTCACTTGCTGCCATCTTCGGCCTAGTGTACAAGTCATCCGAGTTATAAGGTAGCAACTGTCCCATAAACCATTTCTGAAAAAGAACTTTTTCCTCGAGAGGCAGCACTTTCTGAAACTTCTCCAAGAACAATCCAACCACTGACCTTCAGTCCAGTGGCAAAGGTTACGGCATTGTCCAGATTTTCTCCTGCCAGTTTACACAGATGTTTGGACAGTAATAACTTTTTTTTCAGGGTTTCAGACATTGTTGGTACCTCCTCCAAACAGCTGCCCAATCGAGAGCCCTTCAGTATTGGCTCCTTTAACAGACAGTGCAGAGATGTGCTCGGGCCTAATCAACCAGTTTCCAACAGTCCCCAGGTTTTAACAAGACTTTCGTAGAAAGGTGGTAAACCATTTAAATCCCAAACTGCACAGTTCATAGTAAAAAGAGGCTTCCCAAGACCTAAATTACCAACTTTACCCAAAATGTGCTCTGCTACATGTCTCCAAGATAAGCTTAGGGGTCTATAGAGGAGGTTCTGTAGGAACTCTCTAAATGAACCAAACCTTGACCCCCTTCTTCTTCTGACAAAAATAAAACACTCTGAGATATCCGGTGTAATCTATCCCAAAAGAAGTTAACAGTCTTACTTTGCAGTTATTAAAAGATTAGCTGGAGGCTCTTACACTGCAAGACGGTGCCACAAGCTGGTGGCCACCAGATTATGAATAACTATAGATTAACTATGTTCAAAAAGATTGACAGGACGACAGAAATATAGTGCAGTTGGCCAGTTGCTTGCTGTTTATATAGGAAAAAAAGGGGTTACAAAAAAGGTGCAGATGGAGAAAAATAAACATTCACTTGGCTATCGCTCTGTGGTCTGAACTACTAGAAGGCTCGCGTTTTTACTGACCACAAAAACAAGAATTCACGGCATTTCTCTCTAACATCCGGTAGCAAGGGAGCATGGGAAATGCAGTTCTCTTAGCAACGTCATGAAATGCAATACTAAACTGTTCAATGAAATCAATCAATCTGTAGTGTAACTCTTATAAATCATGCAATTTGTCAATCAATTCTTTTAACATTTTTAACTAGAAATAATAATTATGAATTATCAATCAAAATATGAAATGAAACATTGAAACATAGAATGTAACATTAAATTACAACAATAACAAGTGTACGCCCCCGATATGACATTCGAGGCAAAAGCCCCTGACATTTTTTTTACCTACCTTCTACCTTTTCTACGACCTCTTCCCAGTTTTTCAGAATTTCAGAAGGACCGCCTACATAAGTAAACACCGAAACTCTTAATCCCATGTGTGACCCATCTGAAACCATCAGGTAACACTGGTTCGTGACCTTGCCATTTACCTACTAACAAGGCTGTGTTTTTTTTTTCTAGTTGACCCTGGAAGAGGAAATTGTTACAAGCTTGTTGACATCATTGATGTCTGTAACAGCAATGATGATGTCGTCTGCATAGGCTGACAGACACATTGGTGAAAGGCTATCATAAATTTTAACTCCAGTTAACTCTTTTCTGATCTGACATAACTTGGGTTCAATAGCAATAGAGTAAAGCATGCCAGATATTGCACAGCCTTGCCTTATACCCCTTTTAACAAAGAAGAGACCACCATTAACTTTCAATATACTTTCAATGTCATAATACAAGGTTTTTATCATGGCAATGAAACCAGGAGAGAAGCCAAATGCCACAAAAATGTCCCACAAATATCTATGCTCTACCCGATCAAATGCTTTCTCCTGGCCCAGGGAAATGAGACCAAATCTAACATCTGATGAGCTCGAGACTTCCAAATAATCTCTAATGAGGGATACATTATCTCTAATCAATCTGCCTGGGATACAGTATGACAGCTCACAGAGTGAGAACAGCTCTCCGACAGCTGAGAAGGAATCTGCCCCTAGACACACTGTCACTGTCCACCTCAAACAAATCTTTTCCCAATATGGGCCAAAAAGATTTGTAGAAATCTACCGGAAGACCATCTATTCCTGGCGCCTTGCCATTGTCCATGGTCATGAGCACCTCTTGCAGCTCCTGCAGTGTCAGTGGGTGCATTAGATCAGCATATTCCTCAGCTGATATCTGAGGTTGGTAGGTCAGAAACTGTGTCCTTGGCACATTTGCTATGTATTTGCTTTCATATAGATGTGAGAAGAAATCCACAGCCTTTTTCCTAATTTCAGCTGAATCTGTGAGCTCAATACCATCAGCTGATCTAATGCAATGCATAAGTCTGTTCTGACCATTTTTCTTTTCAAGGCTAAAAAATGGAGCATCCATTTCAGTGATGTTTTGAAAATGTGATTGGACTAATGCCCCCTGTGCTCTCATCCTCAGCAGATCTGCCAAAATGGTTCTTTTGGATTTGATGCCTCACCATCAGGTTTCACTTTGTCACTTTGGTTTGTGTGCATGTGCTAACAAGTGGATAGCAAATCGTGTGGTTTGGCATCCATTGCACACGTGTGATCGAGGTGGACAGTGATCTGAAAAGTTTGTCTCTCTGAAAGAAGGAGATGTCTGTGTGACTGTCCAGTCAACCACTGCATCATGTCTGGGACAGAAAGAGCATCCTGATCCTTCATCAGTTACATCTGGGGAAATTCAAAGTGAAACTATGTCAAAATAGCTAATGCAATTGGACAAAAACACAGACATAATTTTGCAAAGTTGCAAGATTCTGTTTACAGTTACTTGTACCAACTGAAAGAGGTTATATTTTCGAAAGTTATTTGTGTCCATGCGTCAGTATTAAAAGTTAAAAGATGAATTAAATGGAAAGACTTAAAATGTTTTCAGTATGTCATTATCTAAGGCCTCAGCAATTCTGAAGTTGTTGACTGAGTAGTAGCAGAAATATTAGTTGTAGCAGCAGCAGAACTAATACTGTAATGGCAGTAGTAGTCGTAGTAGGCATTAAAAACTCTTAACATTTACCAGATTGTCAGCAACTCATTGAATGTTGAGGTTAGGGTACAATACATAGGTATTAGGTTCATACAGTACATGCATTTTGGCCCTACAGTTCTTCTGCTTTTTCATTTGGGTCTGTTAATTTGGTGAAAAATCCAGAAAATAGGGTAGGTGTTATGAGGTTAAACTATTCAGGAGCATAGCAGCGCAAAACTCAGGAGAAAAAAAAGTAAGGAGAAGCATGAACTGTGAACTAAGCACAGCAATAAAAAAAATTAGGTAAAAAAGAGTGTGAGTGCTTTGCTGAAGCACACTTACAATCCTCTCGCCAACTCTCAAGGATTATCTGTCTTATACTACATATTCTTCCAACAAATGACTGTACAAGTATCAACAAAGAGATTTATCTCTAAATTTCTGCCTATGTTGTAAACAACACTTACCCTCAAGCTCTTGCAGGAAATCCTGAAATTTATTTAGGATTTGTGTCTCTGTTGCATGCTTCTGTGAACCGCTTT